TTATCGGCCGATAACGATCGATGACCGATCAATCGGAGCACCCTTACTGTGGATAAACTTAATGTAAACTGACAGCTTTTCAGGGATCGGGAAAGAAAACTCCATGGCTTTATTAATACAAAAATAAGTCATATTTATACATTTATAAAAACTCCACCAATAAATACAGATAAACGTTTGTTTAACAGTAACTGTTATTAATGTAAAGCACAGCTTGATATGATGCTGCATGGTGCATGTGTTCTGATCCGAACCTTTGGCATCTGTGTCGATTTTCTCTCTCCCAAACTATTCCACTCCTCTGTCATCTATCTTCACTGTCGCAAACAAACACTTAAGAATTTCTCCCTTTACTTTTCTGCTTCTCTGTATTTCTGCTTCCTACAACGCTGCTTTTAAACCAATATCTAGACAACCACAGGCCTTGAGCATGATTTTACTGGGTCATATAGTAGTAGCACTTTAAAAGTTCCCAATGTTTCCATAATTGGTCCTTGGCTAGTAAGGGACTGATCCCTCTTCATGTTTATAACCAATGCATACCGTATTTTTCGGGCTACAAGTCGCACTTTTTTTCATGGGTTGGCTGGCCATACGACATATACTCCGGTGTGACATACCGTAAATCCTCTAATATTGGCCTGTATGTCCATTAGCGGCCGGGACTCTAACAATGGCCGGTCTCGCTGTCGGCGGAGGTAAATAATGGCTGGAGTGGTATACAGGCTGGGGCTATAATTAGAACATACGATGTTCCTGGGCAGTCCTCAACAACTTGTGATAGTAACATACAGTAGTATAGTACCACAGGGGGCAATGTTTGCTAACGAATCCAAGCCATTAGCATGGGAAGTCCCATCCTTACACAAAGATCATAGTGGCTTTACGCAATCGTTCTGATCTGAAAGCCACATGTGATTACCGGTAGGTCTGGTGGTAACCAGGCAGAGTTAAAATGACAGAATTTCATTGGCCTTCGTTGTTCTGAATTGCCCTTGAAATATATGATACTGGTAGCCTACTTCCACTTAGCCTGGCTCAAATAAAATTTCGCTGTGATGGCAGAAGTTTCCATTAATTTTTTTTTAAACTTTGTTTCGCAAGTCAGTTTGGCCAAGACTCCATTCGGTGTCTTTTTTTTTTGTATTGCCGTCAAGAAAAATAGCAGCTGCTGGAAGATGCCTGAATAATCTTCTGTATACCGTTAAGGCAACTGTACTTTTTCAATAAATGAACCTAGTATTTTATAGGTTCAAAAGACACAAAATCTAATTTTTATTCATTCCCCTGGTAGTTTGTTTTGATCAAATAGAAATAGAGGCCTGCTTCTAATTCTGGCCTCCTTCCACTAATGGCCTGGACCAAGATGTACCTAAGTGAAATAAAGGCCCCGTCCTATATTAGAGGATTTATGGTATATACGTTGTTGTTTTTTTCACCACGAGGGGGCGCCATGTAGCTTTGCAAGCAACAACATATATTCTGTGTTTTATTAGTTACTTGAATAAGCTAGGTATTTTTTTCACAAATAATTTGATCTTATAGGCCTGTGGCTGCATAGCCTATTAGATGGTTTTAGTTCTGCGTTTTTAAAATAGGCCTATTTCTTCTTTCAAGATAAACTTTACTGTTCGCCTCTAGTGTTGAGGTCTTGATATGATATAGTGGTCTGAATGACATTAAGTGTTTTTATCTGGTATTGGATAAGCGCACTTTCTGCCTGGTTTTTTCCTCAGATGTTGTTCCTTGTTTTTTCCTTCTTCACTAGAGGACTACCGTACCTGTCTTTGGAGATTACTTTATTTGATGAAATAAAATCGACCAAAAATGGAAAATTACTGCAGTTTTATTGACAAAGAGCTATGGGTTGATAAGCCCTACCGGTAAAATGTTCTAAAACCAAATTGATTAAAAGTGTAAATTAGGCTCTAAAATAGGCCTGTAGACTAGGCCTTTTACATGTACAACTATAACGGTAGAGATAGTATTAATGATAGTAGTGGTGATATTTATAACAACCAGAGTATGTGAGAGAGCAACTGGCACGTTGTCACTGCTTCTCAGATGCCCGTTCATGAAATAAAACAATGAGGTCTTCGAGCAGTAGCCTACCACGCGCCAGTTATCAGAACACAGATTCCAGGGATAAAATAACCTTATAAAAAAGGTGCAACTTTGAGTCCGGTGCGACATATATGTTTTTTTTCGTCTTCATAATGCATTTTTTGGCTTATGCGACTTAAATTCCACAGCGCTGTATGGTCCAAAAAATACGGTACATAAAAAGCAAGTTCGGTCCCAGGTGTTCATGGATAAACACTAATAATAAGACTTAGCTGCAGCTACAGATGTATACAATGCTAATATTTTTCCATAACTGAGCAGCTTTCAACAAGCAGAACAAGAGGATGACCCACCTTTGACCCGGATGTCGCTGTACCTCTGGAAGTGATGGTAGGCAGCCTTCCAGGGGTTACGGTAGTGCCGCAGCAGAGTGATGGGGGGGCGGGGCCTGACTGGCACATATCGAACTCCTTCTTCATCTTTAAGAGAAAACTGAGTGTTAAAAACTGATTACAGACTTAAACACTTTTTGATCCGATTATAACAGTAGCTGCTAAACCATACCGACGTATTCCCTTGGCGGGGATTCACGCCTCTCTGCCCTGCCTGTGATGGGCCTCCCCGGGACCTTCTCTTCGTCTGTGCTGTTTGTTTCCACCATCTCGCTCTCCTCGGTGGAGATGACATGCTGCTGTTTGCGGGGTTTCTTCCTTGGGGAGGCTCCCGGGACCATGTCTCCTGTAGCAGGAGGGTTCAGCATGTTTGCCTGGGTAGTGATGGGCGGCGCTGAGGATAAAGTCACATTGGGATCTAAAAGGACGCATGTGTTAATCTGTGGTTCAAAGTTTTAAGGTTAAAATCTGTGATAACCAGAAGACTAACATGTTTCTTACCCGGCAGCGAGGTGTCCATTGTCTCCGCCTCCTGCTTGATTTTGATCTCCGGGCAGGTGGAGCTGGCGGCGCAGGATGCAGTGCTGCTGGCTGCAGGCTGGGTGGGGGAGGCCACGGTGTTAGCCATGGAAGCAGGAACAGGGGGTGTGACGGCCATGGCTGCTGGCAGGGAGAGGACAGTGGAGGGCTGGGAGGGAGGCACGGGCCCGGGCGTGGCCAGCAGTGTGGGGATGGCTTGGCTCAGGTGTTGGGGGTTGGAGGGCTGCTGCTCTCCTCCCGCAGCTGGTTCTACTGTAGCCATGACTGGGGGAGCCACAGCCATGTGGACCTCCGCTTTAGGCTTCACTCTAATGAGGGGAAATGCTTGTTAATGAGCTTCAGAAGTTGGTTTCAGAAGTTGAGGATGTGATGGATGTAAAATGGGCTTACCCTGCAGGCCGGGGAGATCCTGCTCCTCTAACGCCACCATCGATCCTGGAAATGCCGGGCTCACTGGGGATAAGGTTCTTACGAACACATCTTGAAAAGCGAAAGCGAGGAAAACAAAACAAAACAACTGTTTACATAATGAAAACATCGGAGCCCTGTTTGGAGCAGGTCATCCTGAAACCTCACCCTTCAGTCGTAGGTTTCTTTCGGAGGATGCTGGGTCGAGGCGAGGAACCCGAAGTGGGAGTTCCTCCTCCTCCTCCTCCTCCGCCGCCGCCGCCTCCTCCTCCTCCACTCCCCTGGGCGTGAGCCTGCACCATGGTAGCTACAGGCTGGGTGGTGCCAAACGTGGTGCTGATGGGGCTCGCTACAAAGCCATCAGCCAAAACGACACCTGAAGTCAACGACAGATCCGTGACCAACAGGCCTCACAGCAGCCATTTTCAACCGGGCATTGAAACAACCTACCTGGCTTTGCTTCCGACTGCGGCTGTTGTTGCTGCTGTGTGACTATCGGTGCCGGCTGAACTCCTTGTGCAGCGATGGACGGAGACGTGTGCAGACTCTGTACGCCGATCTGTGCGGGCTGTATGCCCTGGGCAGTGATTGGTGCCGGCTGGATCCCCTGGGTACTAATCTGGGCAGACGGGAGGCCGATCCGGTCTACCGCCATCAGCTGCATGGGGTTAAGGTGAACGGTGGTGGCCACGCCCACTCCAGCCTGAGCAGACAGGGCTGAACTTGGAGCTTGAGGGGGGGCTTGGGGAACGAAAGTAAAATTTAGGGTTAGGATTTTTTTTATATTTTCATGAAATATTAATACTCATTCAGTTGCCTTTATTTCATTAAATGAAAGCGATGTACTTTTAGGAGTATTTTTAATGCGCTGTGCTTTTTTATTTTTACTTGGGCAAAAAGATCACAAAGCATCTTTACTCTTACTAGAGTAAAATTTCAAACAAACAAAGCACCAGAGATATACTTTCCACTTTCTCTTTGTATGCAAAACTCATCGGTTTAATGCTATTTACCATGTGCCAAGTCTGTCGTAAAAAGCACTTTGTATACTTTAATTTACCCTCCTCTATCATACTTTGTCTTTTTCAATCTACGCATTTTGAAGTTTTCCTTCAACATAAAACAGTTTTTATGTGATTACTGCATTTTATACACCATGTTTTTTATCTCCCTCTTTGAAAAAACGTGATTGCATCTGAATTTATATTTTATAAAACTTTAGATTATTTCTAAAATATTGAATCAGCGCTTATGATCATGAGTGGTAGCTGTATCCGTCACAAGGTAAGCTTTTACCAAATACTTTTTTACTTTTAACTCCAGTATAAATATGATGAAACAGTGCTACTCTGAGTTCATTTTTTGGTACTCTCTACCCTTCGCTTTATATAAGATTTTGTTACATTGGTACCTACGGCTGGGTGTTTCAATTTAGCAAATTTTTGGTTCATGCAGATTTAAATTAAACCAAGATTTTTTTTCTCTAATCTACTCTTAGGGCTTCCTTAACTCAGAGTGACGTCAGTTCATCACTTTTTGTTCAAAGTTGTGTACTTATAACTGATAAACTAGCTGAATGTGTGTCATCACTGACTGTAAACATTTAGTTTTTTATATTTTCATTGTTTGTTGTGAAACATGACAGCTTTAATTTTGCCGTTTGGTAGGAAGAAAAAAAAAAAAAAAAGATTAGCTTTCTAAGCAATATAACCCAGCCCTATTATTACCACAAACAAAGTACTTTTACTCGGACTTTGTGACAGAGTTAAATAAAGTACTAAATAAAAATATTAGAAATAAAGATAAAGTAGCATGATAAAAATAACAGCCTCCTTTAATTGAATACATAGAAAATACAGTCAGTGTAGTTTTATCTCTGTATAAACCCAGCTGTCAGAGGTTTGTTAGATACAGTAGCATTAGCAGCACTACCAACATGGCGGCTCAACTAAACCAGGGAACTGCAATAAGAGGAGGACATAAATCAACTTTATAAATAAATCCAATTCTATGTTGGATATTTCAGATCTTCATTTGAAATAAAAACGCCAGGGATGTTCTCTTTCCAATTTACCATGAACCATGTAGGAGTCACAGCAAACACATGGAAAGCTGATCTGCTTAGATAACAATTTGAATCAAAGGCAGAAACCTAATATTGAACACAACCATCAACACTTTATCCCTGTGGAGAAGCCTGATGCGAGGATTGGAGAACTGAGAGTGAGTCTGAGCTTTGTTGAAAACAACTTAGCAGATGTAAAGAGCTCAAAGCATGCTGCTGAAATTTCTCATTGCACCTTTAAAAGAAAATACACCAGCTAACCCTGACTGGAAATAAAACATAATAGTTCCTACCTGGATACTGGCGGATGGTGGACACAGAGCTGCTGATGGGGGTGTATGTGTGTGTCAGAGGGTATGATGAAGAGTATGCAGGGAGGAAATACTGGAACTGCACCGGTACAGAAGATCTGTGGGTGTGGCAAGAATTAAAAAAAACATCAACAGTCAACAATATTTTATGCTCAACATACTAATGTTCATGTTTACAATTAGGGCTGAAACAATTAATCGGCTTAATTGTGATTAATCAATTATTGAAATAATCATCAGCTAATTTGCTAATTTGGGGTAAAGAGACTCTAAAACATTCCTTTAAGCTGACAGAATCTCTTAGAGCAGTAATTATACCAACATTGTAAAAAATATGTCAACATTTTGCATCTAAATAGAAAAACTTTTTTGTATATCAATATGCTCTATCCAGAAGTCCTGAAGTGGAAAGTTTTAGTTTCATCTGGTTTAATTTCGTAAAAAAAAAAAACTTCTTTAAGAAGCCTTTGGCTATATGATTATTAATCAATTAATCTGAAAAATAATCGACAGATTAATCAATTTGGAAAATAATCATTAGTTGCAGCCCTAGTTACAACTAGTCAAATGTTAAAACTTCCATATGACGCGTATGACCTGCGGAGATGATATGATAAATACACAGTGATGATACACAGTTTGGAAGCTGCAGCACTGAGCAAAGATATCAGAGTTTTAAATAAGCCAAATATATCAAACTCTGCTAGATCACAGCTTCTTATTGGAATATTATGAAGTTAACAACTAAAAAACCTAACGAGATTATAAACAAAGCTTTTCAACATATTTAGAAACCAAACATAACCGACTCCAGGCTCCACACTGAAATATATAGACTAGGGCTGATGAATAGGAGAGTCCTGCCAGCAGAAGACCAAGAAAATTGGGTTGTTAAGTCCTGCAGTAGTTCAGATCATTCAAAATGCAGGCAGATTTGTGACAGACTGGATACTTTTGGTAATCAAACCATCACAAAGGGCTTACTGATTGATGTTCTCAATATTATAGTTATTTTTGTTAGCCATATGAAATGTGTTTTTATTTCAGTCTAGAGATATAAAAAGTTAATAAAAATATTTCAATCATGGCAAATAGACTTATTTGTAACGTTTATAGATTTAAATTTTTTTTTTACATGATTTAAGATAAGTAGAACAACCCACATATCATTTTTTACTGCCATGCTCTGCTAAATTCTACAGCAATGCTAGCTCGAACTAGCCTAGTAAACCAGCCCCACCCGCCAGCGACCAAAATCATTTTTGCATGCGAGTGGTCTAGTCTCAATCAATTCTCTAGGCCCTAGAACTGGCGGGCCAATCACAATGCAGAGATGTGTTTTGAATTTTTGGATGCAAAGTGGGTGGGGACAAAGAGGCAGTATGCTGGAGAAAGCACAACAAGGAAGATGGCAACAACTATTGAACAGTTCTCCTTTCAGTCAGCTTGGTAATCAGTTTTAGGATTAGATTTGGGGTTTTCATTGAAACCTGAGCAGGAAGAGGCTCTACGTTCATTAATTTTTAAGAAGGACGTATTCGCCGTTTTACCGACAGGCTGTTTGTTTACACCCCCCCCACCAGCTTTCTGTCATGCTTACTAAGTCACAGTCAGTTGCGCTCATTGGTCAGAGTGTTGGCAAATAGGCACAGACATGGTTTGAAAAACAACAGGTTGTTCTCATCAACAATCTTCTGATGTCTCATTCATCGGGGCTTAATTACACATTTAATCTCATCTTTATCAGTTTGGTTTATCAGGCTAAGCTCGAACAGCCACCTTCACTCGAACTATTTAAGCTCTACGTGTCGCCGTTGCTTTTTGAAATATTGCTCACTGTTGCCAATTCTCTACTTTTCAACGGCTCTGATATAGACAACCTTGTCTTAAGCCGTTTTGTTCTCACCTGTTGTCATTTCTGGTTTCCATGGTGACGGGGTTCGGAGAAGACCTGTGTCCTGGAATGGGGATGAGGTTGGCTCTCTCTCCAGGGTATTCAGCCTGGACGCGGGATGAAGAGTGGGCAATCGGCTGTGGGACCACTTTAGCTGTGGACGGGACAGGATGAGGGGATGGTCAGTGAAAACAGATTGCTGCACCGGTGCCCATCAGGAAAGGGTTAGCGACAGGCTTACCAACGGGGATGGTGGACGTAGTCACTGCTGTAGCATGGGAAGAGTGGGACGCCATTGTCATGGTGACAATAGTGTTGCTGGTCATTTGGGTATGAGGTACAGAACCTTACAGGAAACAGAAACATGATTTCAGTGTGAAATAAACCAACTGCTAATAATTAGCTTCCCTTAATTGAGACAAAAATCAGCACCTATCGTAGTTGTCGATGGCACAGTGTTTGTAGCGACTATTGGTGCCACTGTTGCTGCGGCGACAGGAGTCACGGTACTGAAGATGGGTTTCTGTTTGAAACAGCAAACACAGATATTTCTACTCGTTCCATAAACAACATCTGCAACATTTCCACGGACTGAGCAAAGACCCATAACCCCACACTGCTGCCCGGGCGCCACACAATGGCGGCCCAACGCAGAGAGTTCATTTCATCGCTCTGTACTTGTTACAGTGTATTGACAATAAAAGCTGGGGAAACAAAAAAAAATAAACACCTGAGCCATGGTGTGCGGCGGCTGGGCTTTTTGAGCTCCGATCGCAGGGTGCGACGGCAGAGTGATTCGTGTGGCAGAGTCACGTGACGTCTGAGGCCTCTGGATACTGACAGTAGCAGGAGGGTGGATGGTCAACGCAGGACGCCTGTAACAGGATAACAGTCATCTAATTCCTCTCAGCAGCAGCATAATAACTGGATGGAGGTAAAGCGTCAATTTCATATTTATTTTAAAACTTTACTGTTAGCAATTCGGATACTAAGAAGAAAAGTCAAGTTAAATGTTCTGATCCTGCTGACAAATGGACTAAAAGGCTGTATCACATCATTAAAATTGACCTTAAAAAGTTTCGGAGTTATAAAGTTGAGGATCCTGGAAGACTTACCCATGTGTGACTTCAGAGTGAGTGACTGTGGGACTGATCACCGGAGACTGAGTTCTAGTAGCTGAAATGGGTGCCACCACGGTTGGGAGGACAGCAGTGGAGGTTGTTACAGCAGGACGGGACTGAGCACAGAACAGATGCAACATATCAAACATGGAGTTCCTCCTTTACTGGAACATAAAAAAAAAAAAGCCTTTTACATCCAAACGCTCAAACTCACAGGAATAGTTTGGTGGATGATGTGCTGCACTGTAGGCGGGCCGGCGCCTGCAGCTGCTCCTGTGGCGGGCCGCAGGACCGTTTTGGAGCTGGACAGGACAGCTGCTGCTGCGGGGCCTGCAGGGGACGATAATCAATTGAAATACAGTCTTGACAAAAAAGCATTTCCACACTTACATGACCAAATTTTTGCTTTCTTTGTCAAATTTAATTAAAGCAGAAGCAACTTGTAAATGTAATTAGCATTTCTAAGTTGGAGTTAAATTTATAAATTGAAGAAAAACAAACAAAAAAAACCCCTCAAATCAAAGAGGCCACATGAGAAATCACTTTTACCTCTAGATTAAACACTTATTGGGATAAATTTCACATCCCATTCCTGGGTACCAGGAAATCCCTTAAACAGAACCTGCCTGACGACCTGAAGTAGGCTTAAAAAATAAAGCCTCAGAGTAAAACATCACACCACCATTTTAAAGACAATAACAAACGGAAAGGTGCACACTTCCTTACTTGCTTGATATGAGTGTCTTACTCTGAATAAACATGGGGTTGTCAATAGTATCAATACTCAAACATCGAATGCGGATATAATAACAGTATCGAGACTATTTTTGATACTGTTAGTTTTAGATGTCTAGATTACAACCCCTGGCAAAAAGTATGGAATCACCAGTCTTGGATGAGCACTCATTCAGACATTTCATGCTGTAAAACAAACTCAGATCAAAAACATGATACAATATTAAGGTCGTTCCAAAGTGCAACTTGTTGGCCTTCAGGAACACTCAAAGAAATGAAGAGAAAACATTGTGGAAGTCAGTGAATGATACTTTTATTGACCAAACACAGGGAAATAAATATGGAATCACTCAATTCTGAGGAAAAAAGTATGGAATCACTCAAATTGGAGGTAGAAAAAAAAGGACACACCC